GCCTCAGATTACCGACCTGGATCTCTTACGCTTGCTAACCCGATATTGCTTTGTCAGTGCTGAGGATGGGTCGATGATGTGAATTGACGTCACGTTTTGATTGACTATCACCTTTTTCATTTTCCTCTGAGATTTGTGTACATAGCGTCCAGATCTATGCGCCAATTGATGCATGAATCATCGGTGTGAATGGCCTCTAGAAATTCTCGGCCTTCCTTATACGGGCAGGAATTTACAATGCGTGTTTTATCCTAAGCAAATTTAAGCCCAGTTTATAGAGTATGCATGGCGACTTGGGATAAGTGGTCCCGCCTCTTTACTGCCGATTGGTGTTCATGTAGGCGTGTGGAAACGGATTTCCCCCTTTGACCACAATATACCGCATTACTGGTGCCACATGAAATCGTATGGACTGCTTCTTTTTTGTCCAAATAGCCAACCCTATCTTTAGGGTGTACAAGCTGATTGCGTAGCGTAGTCGTCGGTTTGTGCGCCACTTGTATTTGGTGCTTCCTCGGGCGTTTTTCAACGAGTTCAGACGCACTTTTAATGTAAGGAAGCGTCCGCTAGTTTTTATTTTCGGTTTTTGCGCCTGGTCGAAGCAATCTAGTGCCTTTCTTCTTTCTTTTGATTCCTGCTGTCCCACGTATCGGCGTACAAAATCTCTAGGGTAGCCGTTTTTGGAAAATAGGTTGAACAAATAACTGAGTTCTATTCTGCCCCTTCGTTCTCAGAGTAGTATGTCTTTGGTCGATTAAGTAGGGTGTTAACAGCACTCCGTTTGTGAGCGGGACCACTTATCCCAAATCGCCATACATACTCTAAAAAACTGGGCTTACATTTGCTTCGGATAAACCACGCATTTTAAATCCCTGTCGGTATAAGAAATGCCGGGAATTTCTAGAGGCCATTTACACCGACGATTCATGCATCAATCGGCGCATAGATCTGGACGCTATGCACACAAATCTCAGAGAAAAATGGAAAAGGTAATAGCCAATCAAAACGTGGCGTCAGCCCACATCATCGATCCATCCTCAGCACTGACAAAGCAATATCAATTTTAACTGTTTGTCACACGTTCTACACGTCTGACGACGGCCTGGGGAACCAGCGTCGAAAATTTACGAAATGAAGTTTGTTCAGGTTCCCAAAGGACTCATTTTTCTTCGAATTATGTTTCTAGGGTTGCCCATCTTCCTGTACACATGTATACATATGTATATGCTATGATGAAGGGACGTTCACCGATCGAGCTATGGGATATGATCGTCTCGTTGTGCCTTGGGGTTCAGTGTAGAGCTCCTGCAGGCAATCTCACATCTGCTGGCAGTATAGGCAGATTACGATTAACAAATAAGACAATGGAAACTGGGATGGCCGTTTTTGGCTAATAAAACTTCGTCAGCTAGTCTTACCCAATTACAGGTTTTCAGAACCCGCGACGGGCATGCCCCGTAACCTGATCGGTGAACGTACTTCCACCATAGTAACTACCTCTGTGCAACCAGTACTTCCTGAGAGGAGGACTGTTCGACATATTTCGATTGTGTGACTTCTACGGTGTCATTGGCTAGTTTTTTTTAAACACTTGGTAGTCAAAAGGTGCCTCGTACAGACATGGCCGCATACGTTCCCTGGCGAACTATTAAAACTAGGTCCTCATCTACCACTATTTGCTGAGACTAGAGATTTGAAATCGGCTCAGCCGCTTCAGAAAACGCATTTGGACAAAGTAACATGAGTGGTGCCATCCGAGTCTGGGTTAATTCAGCTACGGTTTTGTGATTCCCACCGCATCCCGCCGGAAGGATGCTTCTGAATGCAATTTAGCTGATTTCAGGTGCTTGCCACTCTGTTATACTTGCAGTAAATTGACCTTTTCGAGCTTTCGCCCAAATCTCCCGTTTAACTTCAAAAGGGGGAGCTCCTAGCGTTAGGGACCCGCGTAAAATTTACTATAGTACTGACCACAAGACTAAATCATGCTGCCTTTATGGGGCGCATTACGAACACACCACGCAGGCAAACATATACATGCACACATTTTTTCAGCCCTCACAGTGGGACAAGCGCACATAGTACGAAGTGTGTCAGAATGACTAGCAAATCGTACTCCTTTCTGGAGGACGAGAAATGCCCGAAACGTACGGGAATAGTAACTACTTCGATCTAAGCATGAAGGGCTTCCTTTACGCACAGTCTACACGGAACGCCGATTTCTGCACACGAAGGGACCAGAAGGGCAATGTAGTCAATTGGACACACCCGACAACATCGTGACCTTTTGCCAGGACAACGACAAGGGAGACGGTGATGGTCATTTTTGGCTTACTAGCCGTCTTCAGCTGACCTAACTCATGAAATGCCGTGATCGAAAGATGAGTTTTTTGTTTGTTAAATAGATTTGAGGTGCAGAAAGCCTTTTACTAAAGAATTCACTTTAAATCTGTTTTATGAATGAGAAACAGGCCAGGTTTGGGCAAGATTGCATGTGTCCTGATATCCAAGAAAGTCCCTACGTTATTGAAGAGTGCGGGCCAAATCCTCTTGTCTGTGTTGTGGTATATAAAGCACTAATACAAGCATGAAAATTTCAAACTGAATCCCATCTTGAAACGGCAAATAGGATTTTGCACCACGGAGAATCCTCCCTGAGCATAATTGGAAAACGGATGAAGAAATTCGGACATCAGCTAGACCTCCGATAAAGCCATTTTAAGTAGAAAACCAAGTAGAGAACGTTCTTATTTTTAAAAGATCATATCGATTATAGACTAATTCTGGAAGAGCATTTTCTACTGTGGTGAGGCCTTTCTTTTAGAACAGCCATCAAATTCAAGACTGGCTAATCTAGCAGTCGACAACGGAGACTACCAATAGCATGGGTTTCATCGACATTGTAAAGGATGCCTTAGATTGCAACGGCATTCACCGAAGTAGAATGGGCACTCTAACGCCTCTGCTCGCCGATTCTGACTTGGCTTACGGCTAACCGCATTCTTAGACCACCACCAGTCTCTCCCCCTGCGGCCTGTGAAGCTTTTTCCTTTCCGCTAACAGCCCGGACCTCAATCCGACCGAAAATCGTTTTCTATCGATCAGAAGAAATTGGGACAAGACAAGAAAACACTGTTCCATGCAGGAAAAGCTTAATAATTTTATGGACCAGTCTACAATTGACAACTTATTAGTTTTGCTGTTTGCCCGACTAATGGTCGTGTTACACGTAAAGGGACAATCAACAAAGTACCAATAGGTTGTATTTGTCTCTGTTTCCATCATTTTCTCGTAGTATTATATTTTCCTCCTCTGCCGCCTTAAATAATTCATCTGTCATAAAGTCCTATTTTGACTAGATCGTCTTCGGCAAAGTAGATTATTTCTTGCCTAATAAATAATAAGCGATCAATCAAAGTACGCCTTCTTTTGAATAATTGTCGTTCCTCTAATGTAGTAACGCAGTGGACGCGGGTGGGCGGTCTGAGCGTTACAAGGTTTTTGTGCGGATTTCGTGACCATTATTCTGATAGGTCACGAACAGTGCATATGTGGGAGGAGTTGTACTCGTCAATTTCCGATCTGCTGACACCGAAACGCCGTCAGGTAAAATGGAAACGAGAGAACGTTAGATTTTCGTACTGGACCAGTTGGCGCGACAGGACTGACTGACCACTGGCGCGTGAGACCTACTGGCCAGATTTCTGGCCATTTCAGCTCGAAACTCACTCTAATCATAATTACTTTGATCTGCACATCAGGAGTTTTCTTCGTGCACATTCTACGTGGACGGCCAAACTTTTCACTAGATAGGATCAAAGTGGCAATGCAGCAGCCAATTGGGTCACTTTGACCAGGCAGACCACGAAAATCATGTTGCAAGTGGCTTTCCGAGTGTCCCGGCCTTAGTGCTACAACTCGTTTGATTGGAGTTTTCTCGGACTGAAAAGACTGAAAACAGAGCACTTCCACGATGGCAGAGTTTTGAGCTGCCAACTAGCGTTTGCTTTCACAACAAACTTTACACACGAACGTCGCCTTGGAACATCTGCTTGAGACCACAACCACTCGTGCGAAGTGGCTGACAACTGAGAGCAAGAAACGAATACGGGTTGGCGCTAAATGGCTAGTCCTATGATTAATCATAGCTGGTGCTACTTAGCAGTGAATTGTGCTGTGGCCTCGTTGAGCATCACGTTGAAACGCGTCATATTACTGACAGCGAAGGGTTTCGTAGCAGCAAAAGACACCCGTATCAACAGGCAATAGCAGCATGTCCCGACAGGCGGACGCTTCAACGACACGAGATAAAGGGCGGTTTTCCCACAAAATGGTAGTAGAAGCAAGGCAAACGTGCTTCAGTTAGGCAGACAGCCAGAGGGTGCAGTGGGTTAATGAGGTCGTCGCAATTTATGTCAACTGCCTCAGACAAGCGCAACATAGTAAGAGTTTGGGATGAAAACACTAGGGTGTTTGCTAAACTACACAATGAAGCGGAAAAGGGACTGACGATTTTCAAAAAGAGGCGCTTTGCTAGTTGAAAAGTAGTCGATTATTAAAAGGACAAACATTCCAGCAAAACAACTTTTCAAGCAAATTAAGTAGTCACCTACGAGGAAAATCAAATTGAGGACCGGATATTTTGAAGCAAGAGTTTGCATAGAAAAAGCTGCCCGTGAGGCAGCAAATGAGGTAGCGTCTTATATGCGTGCAAAACCTCCCTTCTGGCTTCAAAAAACTTCACAAACCTGGGAATGATTAACCCTTACGCTTTCCAGGACTTACAGATCTTTTCTGCCAACAGTTAGACAAAGACCTGTGGGTAATTAACCTGCAGGGGACTGATAAACAGGCAAATAACTGACAAGAACGAGGAGATCTAGGGACAGTGTTTGTAGTATTTATAATAATATCAGAAAGTAGCAGCGGTACTCATCTGACAGATTTTGAATTTACAGCAGAGGAAGACCTGCCTGTGAAATCAGCTTACTGTATCAGGATTACTGCGACAAGATGGATGGAAGACGCAGACTAAGAGGCAACTCAGGTGATAAGAGCAATTGGAACTGGGTCAGTGGAACAATAATAATAATAATAATAATAATAATAATCGCAAGAAGATAAATAATCGTTTTGACGTACCGGCTTTACTGGTCCAGAAACTCGTTGGAGGATCTTGGCGTCACGGGATGTGACAATGAAAGCGGCCGGCAGATCAGCCAACGCTGTGATAACGTTCTGATCCCAGACATCGTCCAGGATTATGAGGAAGAGGGAGGGGGTGACCGGGCTGTCAGAATCCAGGGTCTCTGATTTTCGGTACTGTCGTGTGATGAGGCGCCGTTTTATGCGCAGTTTGAGAGGATTAACATCTGCGGAAGGAGGTGTGTGAGAATGGCAATGTATCCTCTTACCGTCATCCTGCAGCCGGGGTGCCCCGTAGGGTGATTGAATCTCATTTACATGTTCGTTCAAACGAGATAGAACCCCTCGTACCTGGTCCTCAGCCTCGGCGCAAGGACAGTCGCAGACACGAGAGTAGCCCACCTTCAGCCATATGACACCTGCCAGGAAGGAGACGAGAAAATAGGTCACATTGGGTGGATGTGTCGGTGATCCAGTCCTGTTTGTTTGTATGGACTTTAAACTGAGAGCAGGATCTGGATCCCATAAAATGTGGCAAACTATCTAGTCTTATTTTCAAATGCTTTCACCTTGCTGTCCCCTGAATCGTCCTGCTTGGAGTCAACGTGACCGCATGTCAAATAGGGGTCGTGGCTACTACAGCCACCGGTGGGAATTGAGGGCAAATAGCTTTAGCAAGCCAACTAAAGCACTCTTTCGACGAGTGAAATAAATCAGTAATGAGCAGAGGCAGAGGCAGTTGCGTAGCGGAGCATGACGAGATGGTGATGGTTTAATAGCTTCGAGCGGTAAATTCACCAGTGGAGCAGTCTAATCCATCGAGTGTCATTGGGGTTAGTAATCACCTGTCGGATATGGATTAGGAGACAGTCATTCTTTGTTTCAGTCCGGTGTGGCGCTCGCTATCCAAATGCCCAAAGGGTGCGACCATTTTATCTTAGCTTGCACAATTACACCGGATTTATGGCTCAGTGTTTTCGGCATCTGTAATAGAAGGTTATTATAATACGCATGATCACTTACATGGACGCAGTGGATTTTCTCATGAATTTTGCCCACACTTTGTATCTTTCAAAACTAGAACATTTACAACGTAAATCGAAGTGGACGGCGGGAGGCACGACAACTCTAGGTAAGACCTAGCAGTTAGCAGATGATCAGCGAGGCTAATCTGGAAGTTTAGTGACTTAAAGTACATTTCTATCTTATAGTCGGCAAAACGTTAGAAGGGGGTGATAAGACGATTTTGGAAGTTCAAGACAAATAGACCGGTGAAAAGACTAATTTGTTATGATTATCAAAAATAAACTCGTCTTTTGCGCGAGAGCAGCCGTGGTCGAAGGAGAGGAATACATAACTCAGTGCAAGCTATACTTTGGGTTATGGCATTAAAATACGACTCTGTGCTCGAGCTCATGTCCCACTAACAGCCATGGCTAAGAGTAGGAAAAATGAGCTGAAGTCAGCGGTTCTAAATATGGCCCGCTTCTGATCGTGGCGGCATACAATTGGCACTTAGAAGGGGATGCGGAGACGGTTGGCGCAATAAATAATAAGCCAGGTACACTTACCTCCAGAAAACTTTTCAGCCAAAATTTGATGATTCTGTCGAAGAGCTGCGGCGGTCATGACGGACTTTCCTTGTCCTGCCATTCCGTAGAAGAGAAGCCAGGCATTTGTAGGAGTATCAAGAACAGGAGAATCGAGTTTCGCTGTGTCCAGCGTGGCACACGAGAAGTCTTTGATGGTGTGCCGCGAGACGAACTGCGAGGCCAGCCATTCGAGACCCTGTGTAAGCGCTGCCAGCACTTTGGGACGTTCAATAAAGGGATAGGGTCGGTCTGGAACATCACCATGGAGAAGCGCTTGATGAATATCCGTCAAGCTCCCCTGGCGCTCCCTTGGATAATAAAAATCGAATTTCGGTAAGGGGCTTTTGATGTTCTTATAACTACCAGCATACTTGCCAGTCAGACGTAGTTTACAGTACTCTACTATCTCCGTAGTCCAAAGACCAGGTCGGCACAGCATACGCACGCTTCGATGTCGTATGGATAGTAGATGCACTATAAACGTGACGACTTGTCCTGAAGTCTGGCAGGGACATCAAACTAGTATTTCAACTGCTTGCCGTGCAGTCTGGAACAGCTCAAGTGTGCTTGCCACTTAAGTGGGTTTGTTCAGGAAATTTACCCGCCAGCTATGATAAATAGACTTCCGCTGCGGCGTAAAATTAGATAGAAGACCCTTGTTGCTGAGTTTCCTGATCGATCGAAAATACCTTATTAATCGTCCAATTTGCAGTAACTGCAACAAGATGAGCGAACAAGGGATATTGGGCTGCAAAGGAAACAAATATAGGAACGGTGGTGACACGTGCTCACCCTAGCCTACGAATCTACAGGAAGGACTATCACACCACGATTGAAATATATGCACTAGAAATAAATCCACAAACATTATTGTTGTCAGTTCTAAAGAGAGTATGCACCTCTGGATCGCGACGGCCTTAATGGCCTCACGTAGCTGTGTGGTCAAAAAATCATATTGCGTTGGAAGAGAATTCAAAAAGCATTCGAAAGCCGATTCGCCCCGCCACGTCAATATGTCGAGGAACTTTCTACACCTTGCTTGGGGTGTTGGCTGGTTTTCAATAATTTGATTTTCTTCAATGCTAAAATATCCCCCGGCAATAAGGTGGTCCAGGACTTCGGTTGGGTCGAGGGACTGAATAAGCATAGGACGACATCTTTCAAGGGCACGACTATATTTTGAGGACATAGTGAATACAATTTATTCGGGGAGTTTTTCCTTGGACATGCACTGGCGGAAATTCTTCACTTGAGTTTGACACTTTCTCCAGTCCTTATTGTCAAACATGCATTCCATAATGGCATTATGTTCATCTAGGCATCCAGTTTTCGCAATGAGGGCGATGACTGGGTCGTCTTCTTCAGTCTCGTCGACACTGGACGTGGCTTTTTGATACTGGTGTCCACTCATCAAAGCTAGTTGGCCGCCTACACCGCAGCATAATAACTGGCCAACTTTTGAATTTGTCTTGTCTCAACTTTGGCAAGGCCGATCTTGAGTCAAGTTAACACATTAATGAGGGCCTTTGTATGGGACGTTTATGTCTACTATCCCAAACCAGACTCTTACCTGCACTCGTAAGCCTACGGTTAAGGTTTGGTTTTAAAAGTTGTTGCGGCGAGAGAGGTAGAAAACGAAAACTAGTGAGTAGAAACAGTACGAAGGATACTGAAAGAAAAGATCGCAGAAGTTACATTGAACGCAAGGAAGTATTACTTACTAACGCAACAAAGCGACTTAACGTGAAGCAATGCGCCTTGATCATTTCATATGTATGTGAGTTTACCTTCTCTTTTCATGTCGCTATTGAACGTACCCAACCACCACCTGTGCTCCCGACAAGTTCATCTCCTGCTGGAACTCCGTTTTTTCATTAAGTTTTAGTGAACGTTGTAGATGCGACAAGTGAATGAAGGCAATCCCCACAGACTCCTTGCTTAATATTGCTCTCCAAGTGTTTATACCAAAAACGGGAACCCATCACAAACAATTTATTAAAACCTCTCTATAGTTTCACTGCGGACTCAAAGATGGTCAAATCGTCTTCTTAGGCCTTTAAATAGTCTCTGCTTCTGCGTCACTCCAGTCGTATAAAAAAGAAATGGTGTGGATTCCGACGACACTTTCAATTTGAGCGATAACCTCTTCACCAGCCACCTGGTTAATCGCGCGATCTCATACCTGACCCGTTCGGTCAGAAGGGCCTCAACTAGATTGAACTGGGTTAAATCTATGAAAAGAGAAGGATATTAACTCTGCCTATGTACGTCTAGAAAAAGGCATCCTTACTGGGCATCAGAATGACATGGTTAAGTCAGTTCAGTTTTTATGTTCTACCCGCCTTTGTTGCCATTTAAAGTTTTTTAACTTTGCGTCCCTATTATGCTTGCTTGGTTTTGCTTGGTTTGCGTAAGGAAGTAGCCCCGGCGTATTTGTACGACGCCGCATTGCACTTTTCTCCCTACATATGCATCGCATGGGAAGTCGGCAGTTAATATATTTCCGCAAATTATGGACATAATATTCACTTATGTCCCCAGGACTGTTGATTACTATGATTCTTTTTTGTCGTCAGGCCTTCGGACAAGCAAGCACTCCAAAGCCTCGACAAGGTCGTAGAAAATACCATTGGTTATGGCCTAAAAATTAACGTAGAAAAGTGCAAGTTTATTCGAAACAACATTTATTGCCTTGGGTTTGCGGTAAGTGAGACCGGACGTCGACTGCTCCAGGTGAAGTTGCGCATTCGCGAATGTGTAATTAGTAAAGAATGTACGGAAATTACAAGTGTTTATGCGACTTGTCAGTTGCACATATCATTTGTTGCCGGACATTACAGGGCCAAGATGGGCGAAGACGGGGAAGGGCGCAGGTGGCTGGCGCGGCCCCACCCGTACCTAGACGGGCCACCACACTCCCTGGTTCGTAATATATACTTGATCAGGATTTTTCATCAACACCAACAACAACATCCCAATAGGGGGTCAGAAGGACGAGAATGATGACTGTGCAGCCAGGCCCACCACCTGTATACCCGGCGGGGGCGCAAGCGCATCTACCGGCGGAAAACCAATTGTCAGGGGATTGTCAGGGCATCCCAGAGTCAAGAAGACCGAAGACGGGGAACGGCGCAGGTGGATGGCACGGTCGAGCCCGCATCTTGGCGTTACGCTCCACACCCCCTGGTCCACACAAAAAATGACAAGGATTTTTCGCCAACATCAAACAGAATGGAGGCTGGCACGGCCGAAGCCGCACCTAGGCGTGCCGCTCACACCCGGCTCGGATCGTATGGAGAGGGAGTGTCATTAAGGCCATGTTAAGAGGGGGCCGTTGCAGCCTGACTCTCAGACCACCAGCCAGCCACTTCACACACACACACACACACACACACACACACACGACAGTTCGACCGTCGATTTCGACGATGTCCACCGTGTGCCCCAAAGCAGGTGGGAGCAGGCACGGTGACTTGCGCAGGGGTTTATAGTGCTGGTAGACTTGCGCTGCATCTACCTACACTCTCTCCTCCTCCCCCGCCTGGGCCCGCTGTCAAGACAGAGTCAAGAAGACCGGAGACGGGGGAGGCCGCAGGTGGATGGCTCGGACGGATCCTCACCTTGGCGTTCCACCACACCCCCTGGTCCACACAACAACAACCAGGATTTCAACCAACACAACAGAGATTTGGAGGCTGGCACGGCCGAAGCCGCACCTGGGCGTGCCGCCAACGCCTGGCTCGGATCCCACACTGTGGTGGGAATGCCATAAAGGCCACATTAAAAAGGAGCCATTGCAGCCTGACTCTCAGACCGCCTCCCGTTAAGGAGGAGGTCCAAGGTACCCCGTCAGTTGGCAACCTTCCAAGCCACGGCTTTTAGCGCACCGTGAGAGCTTCAAGCGCGTCAGATTGATTATAGTGAGGAAAATGCGCTGAGTCGTCGACCTCACTCTCCCTTCCCATTCCCACACCCCAGCCACTGTCCGAGCCGGTCAGTAGACTGGAGTGGGGAATGGGCGCGGTGGCTGACATGGTCGACTGACCATGACTGCGCGCGCCACAGCACGACCTGGCCCCCCATACACACACAAACAACAGGATTTCACACAACGGGGGTAGAACGGCGTGTATCCCACTTGCGTGAGAGTGCCGTGGAAGGTGCTGCTTCAGCCCGTCCTCAGCCCACCAGTCCGCCGCTACACACAACACACACACAACGTGACGAACTGCGTGAACCGAGAGCGGGTCTCAATCAGCAACCTTCCTATCCACGACGCTTGACGTGTCGGGATAGTCTCGGACACGAGTCACCCGTGCAGCCGAAGCCGCATGGAGACCGAGTCGAGATGCACACTTCCCACTTGCGTGGGAGGCGGCAGTGGAGTGCATGAGGTGCGTGAGGGTTGATGTCTGGTGGGGTGATGGTGTTAGGAGGTAGGGAGTGAGGGAATGTGTGGTGTGACCGGCGGTTGTCTACCGTAGGTCGTCGTGGATGCGCATGTGGCCGAATAGACCCATGCGATGCGTGAAGGTGCGACGGCAGTGTGGGCAGTGGAGGCGAAAGCGGTGGGTGTAGGTTGGTGCTCCAGGCACTGGTTCGCCAGTCTCTGTGCGATGGATTCGCAAGTGACCGACCAGGCCGATGCGTGAGGTGAAGGTGCGTGGACAATTTGGGCATGAGAGGTCGGCGGTGTCGGTGTCAGCTGTTGAGGAAGCAGTGGTGTTAGTGGTGGTGGCGGTGGTGGTTAATGGCGCGTGTGACGGTGGAGCGAGGATTGGTCTGGACGTGGTGAATGTGTTGGATGTCGTGGCTGTATCGGAATTGTGGTCAATTCCGCTCTCGTGGATGCGCATGTGGCCGAATAGACCCATGCGATGCCTGAAGGTGCGAGGGCAGTGTGGGCGGTGGAGGCGAGTGCGGTGGGTGTAGGTTGGTGCTCCAGGCACTGGTTCGCCAGTCTCTGTGCGATGGATTCGCAAGTGACCGACCAGGCCGATGCGTGAGGTGAAGGTGCGATCGCAGTGAGGGCAGAGGTAGTCCTGGCCCTCACGTCTGATGATGGAGGTTGCAGGGGTTGTGCCTGTTGTTGTGTCAGGTTCGGCTGTGGTGAAGTCGTGGGCGACAGACGCCGAAGCGGCCGTCGTTGTGGCAGTGATTGAGGAAGAGGAGGAAGGGGAGGAGTGGGAGGTGGTAAGGTCGGTGGCGTCGATGTCGGTTTGGGAGTGGTTAGTGGGTGCACAAGGTGGTGGATTGGAAGTGGGGCTCGGCGGGGTGGATGTGTCAAGGCTGCGGTCAATTCCGCTCTCTTGGATGCGCATGTGGCCGAATAGACCCATGCGATGCGTGAAGGTGCGAGGGCAGTGTGGGCAGTGGAGGCGAGTGCGGTGGGTGTAGGTTGGTGCTCCAGGCACTGGTTCACCAGTCTCTGTGCGATGGATTCGCAAGTGACCGATCAGGCCGATGCGAGAGGTGAGGGTGCGGTCACAGTGAGGGCAGGTGTAGTCCTGATCCTCATCACTGGAATCGGGAGAGGTGGGAGAGGTGATGTTGGTTGGTGTGTTGGTGTTGGTGATGTGTGAGACAGCAGTCTGAACGGCCGCCGCTGGGGCAGTGGAGGAGAAGGAGGAGGATGGAAGTGGTGGTGCAGAAGGAGTGTCAGAGTTAGTTGGCGACACAGAGGACGAGGAAACGGCGGGCTGGGGGAAGATGGCTGGAGCAGTTCGAGAGGTGCAGTTGGTTCGGAGATGTCCAACAAGTCCGATTCGTGTCCGGAATGTCCGTTGACATCGAGGACACGTAGGTGGAGGTTGTGCGGCGGCGCTGCGGACTGGGCGAAGTTGTGATTTGCGGGCTTCGCGTTTCGCTTTGGCGGCGGCGATTCGGTTGGCTTCATAGATAGCAGCGCCCGTCTTCACTGTTCTCCTCCATGTCGGACGATCGCGAGCGAGCTCTTCCCAGTTGGTCGGGTTGATTTGCAGGCGCTTCAGGGAGGACTTCAGAGTATCCTTGTAACGGCGAATTTGGCCTCCTTGACGACGAGAACCCGTCGCGACGTCTCCGTAGAAGAGTCGTTTGGGTAGTCGCTCGTCGTCCATGCGCACCAGGTGGCCGCTCCAGCGCAGCTGCATTTGTCTCAGTATGGCGTAGATGCTGAGGATTCCCGTTCGTTCCAGTACTTCCGTGTCGGGGATTCGATCCTGCCAGTTCAGCCTCAGGATGCGACGGAGACAACTGAGGTGGAAGTGGTTCAGTCGGCGTGCCTGTCTCGTGTACACCGTCCATGTCTCTGCTCCGTACAGTAACGTCGGCAGGATGACGGCCTTGTACATCTTTAGTTTCGTGCTCAGTTGGAGACCGTGGCGATTCCAAACTGTGCTTCGGAGACGACCGAAGGCTTGACTGCCTTTCCAGATCCTGTTGGCGACTTCGTCATCAATCTTGGTGTTGCGGGAGAGGGTACTGCCCAGATACGGGAAGTTCTCCACCACTTGCAGTTGATTTCCGTTCACGCTGATTTGCGGCGGCGCGTTGGGGGCTGTGGCTGAGTTGGGCGGCGGTTGGTGCATCACCACCGTCTTCTGCGTGTTAATGTCCATGCTGCGTTGCATCTCCGCTTCGGAGGTGGTGTTCAGGGGGCAGTCGTCGGCGAAGAGGAGTTCGTGCACGGTGGTTGTGGATACGCGCGATTGGAAGTTCATGTGCCGTTGATTCAGGAGATGACCGTCCGTTCTGTAGGCGATGCGGATTCCAGGGCGTTCGTCGCGGTAGGCGTCCATCAGCATGGCAGAGAACATAAGACTGAAGAGGGTTGGTGCCAGCACACAGCCCTGCTTCACTCCGTTGGTCACTGCGAATGCCTCTGAGACAGCTTCGTTGTCCCTGACTCGCGCCATCATACCGTCGTGCAGCTGACGCACCATCTGAGTGAATCGCTCTTGACAGCCGAATTTCTGCATGATTTTCCACAGTCCTTCACGATTCACCATGTCGAAGGCTTTCGTCAGGTCCACGAAGGTAGAGTACAGGTGGGTCTGCATCTCCTGGCACTTCTCCTGAAGTTGGCGGGCTGCGAAGATCATATCCGTGGTCCCACGATGACGACGGAAGCCGCATTGGCTTTCCGGCAGAAGGTCCTGTTCCAGATGGTTGTTGAGGCGGTTGAGCAGGATGCGAGCGAAGATCTTCCCGGCGATGTTCAGTAGGGACATGCCGCGGTGGTTGTCGCAGACTTGGCGATTCCCTTTGCGCTTGTATAGGTGCACGATGGTTGCGTCCTTGAAATCTTGCGGGACTTCACCTTGACACCACATCTCCTGGAAGAGCGCAATCAGGTGATCCATCAGTAGGGGACCTCCGTGCTTGTAGACCTCAGCAGGGATTGCGTCCGATCCGGGTGCTTTCCCGTTGGAGAGTTGCTGCACGGCCCTGATGGTCTCCTGGAGAGATGGCGGAGGGTCGAGGTCCACGTTGGTCTCCACTTGCGGCAAGCGGGCGATGGCGGCGTCGGAGATGACGGAAGGGCGGTTGAGGACGCCCTAGAAATGCTCGGCCCATCGCTGTAGGATTTGCGTCTTCTCAGTCAGGAGAGTGCTGTCGTCGGCGCTGAGGAGAGGAGCGGTGCCCTTCGTCGGTGGAACGTAGACAGCTTTGATCGCGGAGAAGAAGTTCTTCCATTCGTTGCGGTCCGCGTAGCCTTGGATCTCCTCAGCTTTGCGAGCAGTCCAGGCGTCCTGCATCTCGCGCAGTCGTTGCTGAAGCTGTCGGCGACTGCGGTAGAAGGCAGCTTTGTTGTCCTCAGTGGGGTGATCTACGTAGGCTTTGTGGAGGCGATTCTTCTCAGCAAGCAGATTTCTGATGGCGGAGTCGTTGTCGTCGAACCAGTCCTGGTGTTGGCGGGGAGCGCGACCGAGGACGGCGAGCGCCGTCGACTGGACCGTGTCTCGCAGTTGACACTAGTGGTTCTCCACGGAGGTGTTCTCGGCATCGGCGGCGGCGTCGTCGGCGGCGGCGGCGATAGGAAGGTTGTCTAGCCGTTGAGCTAGGTCAGTGCTGAAATGGAGACGGTGAGCAGGCAAAGACAACAAAGCAACATTCAGCTTACCTGGGGGTCGCTTACCTTGTGGTCTCCTGCGAGGCTGTAGGCGAATACGCATCTTCGAGATGACGAGGCGATGTGGGTCCACCCGTCAGCTCCCGCGATCGCCTTGGTCACCGGCACGTCCCGCTGATCTCGCCTCCGGACGGGGACATAGTCCAGCAGGTACCACTGACGCGACCGAGGATGCCTCCAGGTGGCCTTCTCTCGCTCCGGCAGACAGAAGAACGTGTTCGTCAGGATGAGGCGGTGTTCTGCGCAGGCGCGAAGCAGTAGCAGACCATTGTCGTTTGAGCCGCGGAGACCGTGGGGGCCCAGCACTCCCCTCCAGGCAGTATGGTCTGTGCCGACGCGGGCGTTGAAGTCGCCAAGGACAATCAACTTGTCCGCCTTCGACACAGTCGCCAAGAGGGCGTGCAGGTCCTCGTAGAATTTGTCTTTGACGGCGTCGGGGCTGCTCATCGGCGGAGCGTAGGCGCTGATGATGGTGGCGAACTTGCCTCCTCGCCGGAGGGGCAGACGGAGGCTCATTAGGCGGTCGTTGATTCCCTGCGGCAAACAGGGCAGTCGTCCCACGATGTCGGTCCGGATGGCGAAGGCGACACCCGCATCTCGTCGCTCTGCCCTGGGTCGACCACTCCAGAAGAAGGTGTTACCGGCACCCACCTCCTCCAGTTGGCCTTGTTCGAAGAATCGGGTCTCGCTGAGTGCGGCGATGTCCACCTTGTAGCGCGCCAGTTCTCGTGTCACTAGCGCCGTCCTCCGTTCCGGTCGGTTGCTCCTCGGATTGTCTAAAAGGGAACGAACATTCCAGGCTGCCAGAGTGAGCTGGCTCACCCTACCAGTCTGGCGACTGCGGCGGCGAAAAGTAGGAGTAGGAGAAGAAGAAGAATAGGCTGGAAGAGGAAGAGAGTGATTGTTGTTGTTGTTGTTGTTGTTGTTTCGGTTTTGGCTGTTTCGACCGTGTGTTTTTTGTCTGCGACCACGGCCAGCCTACAGACAGCGTGGTTCCCAGCGATCTTTAGGGCACCTTTTCTAGCCCCCTCCCCCTCGCGGGGGCAGGCAACGCATCCCTGAACAGGGCTGCCCGGTTATCCCAGACGGCTGCCGGACTCCACTATGGGCCACGACTTTTTGTTAGTGAGAGAACGACCCGAATTAGCCTGGGACCTTGGTGGTGAGGTGATGATGTGATGGAGTGAAGTAGGAGAGAGCATACACACTACCTTACGCAAGGGGACTTAGAACTAGAGTGGACAAGCGGACACGGTCATCAGTCAGAGACAAAGTGAGGGCACCAAACAAAGTTAAGCACCGTAACACCTAGCTATTAGTAGAGAGTGGCATAGACTGACGGACAGACAATCGCAGCAGGCATAGAGGGTGTCGTTTAGCTGTTAACAGACAGACTAGCATATAAAGGGCAGGCAGCAAGCGCAGCGTACGACGCGGAACTTCAACAAACAAAAGGAAGAAACAAAGCAAACGCACTTACCTGACGGGGGAACTTACCTGGTGGCCTCCTGCGATGGTCCAGACAGAGCCTCGTCTCGACGATGTCGACGCGAAGATCCATCCGGCCAGCGCAGACCACAGTACCGCGCGTGCAGGTGCACGCACGGATACCCTCAGCTGGTTTAGCCCGCCGGTCGAGACGGTTGCCCGGAGTGTGGCCGCTGAGCAGAGCCCAGCTACGTGGAGCCACAGGTGAGAGTAAGGTGCCAGCAAATGGACGCTAGACGTAGTCTCACCTGCAAGCAAGTTAGCGATCACTACGACCATCACGTGGACCCACCGCTGACACCCCTACACCCACACACACACACACACACACACACACACACACACACACACACACACACACACACACGACAGTTCGACCGTCGATTTCGACGATGTCCACCGTGTGCCCCAAAGCAGGTGGGAGCAGGCACGGTGACTTGCGCAGGGGTTTATAGTGCCAGTAGACTTGCGTAGCATCTACCTACACTCTCTCCTCCTCCCCCGCCTCGGCCCGCTGTCAAGACAGATTCAAGAAGACCGGAGACGAGGGAGGCCGCAGGTGGATGGCTCGGACGGATCCTCACCTTGGCGTTCCACCACACCCCCTGGTCCACACACAAATGACCAGGATTTTGACCACAGAGTAATGGGGTGGTGGCAGTGGTCCAGTTGTGCGACGAATGCGGACAACAGGGTCCGCCAGCGCACCCCGCAAATGTTGGCATTTGTTACTGCGCACAGATAACGCCTGCCAGAGTCCGATGTGGCCCCCTTGTTGGTCCAGTGCATCTAACACATGGCCCGTTTGGAGGACACACACAAACAACACTGGCGACTGTGAGGCCGAAGTTATCCCGTCAGCTGGCAACCTTCCAAGCCACGGCTTTTAGCCACTGTGAGATCTTCAAGCGCGTCAGATTGTTTATAATGAGGAAAATGTACTGAGTCGCCGAACTCACTCTCCCTTCCCATTCCCATGCCACAACCACTGTCCGAGCCAGTCGGCTGACTGAAGTGGGGAATGGGTGCGGTGGCTGATATGGTCTATTGACCTTGTCTGCGCGCGCCACATGCACGACCTGACCCCCCAAACACTAGCACCAGGATTTCGCACAACGCGAGTCAAGCGGCGTATCTCTCACATGCGTGAGAGTGCCGTAGAAGGAGCTGTTTCAGTCTGGCTTTTAGCCCATTAGTCCGCCATTCCACACAACTCACAAACACACAACTGGACGGACTGCGTGGACTGAGTTGGGGCGTCAGTCATCAGCCATCTAATCCACGGGGCTTGAGCCGTCGGGATAATCTCTGGCTCGAGTCACCCATGAGATAGGAGCCGCGTGGAGATCGAGTCGAGACGCACACTTCCCACTTGATTGGGTGGTGGCAGTTGGGTGTTTTCGGTGGGTGATGTTGATGTTCTGTGGGATGGTGGTGAGGGTGAGTGTCGTGGTGTGGTGCAGTCGAGGATGCGCATGTGGCCGAATAGGTCCATGTGGTGCATGAATGTGCGAGTGCAATGTGGGCAGTGGAGGTGGATGCGGTGTGTGCATGTGGGTGCTTCAGGCATTGGCTCGCCAGTCACTGTGCAATGGATTCGCGAGTGACCGATCAGGTCGATGTGTGAGGTTGTAGTGGACAGCCACAGTGGCAACGTCGCGCCTCTCGCTAGCTCCTGCACCTTCGCCCTAGCGACATCCTGCTATTACACGCACGTCTGCCCGACTTCGGTTTGTCTCGTCGCAATTCGCTGTCTGCACCACGCATCTGGTCGATACTTTACCTGCACCATGCGAGGCATCTCACTACCCTCGCGTGGGCTTGGGGCCAATCAACGCACCTACCATCGCTGACTGGTAAGACAGGTGTAAACAGCCCAGAACACTAGCGTGAACAATCTGCCACGACACTTTTGCAGCGGCGACCTTCGGCGACACACGGCTCGTCGTTCTCGCGGACGCCGCCTCCGCGGCGCCGGACGCATTCTTGTCCGGTTTCCACCTTCCCTTAATTATCCTGTACAGTTCAAATAAATCATTTTCCTCTTCAACCGGCGTCCCGCTTCTTCCAACATGGGATATGGCCTGAAGTTGTGGCGTACTGAGCGTACACCATCCCCGCTTAGCCGCAACAAGGTGAAGGTGCGGTCGCAGTGAGGACAGCAGTAGTTCAGGTCCTCACTGCTGGTGTCGACTGTGGGGTGTTGGTGGTTGTTGTTGTGTCAGCATTGTGGGTCACGTTGATGTGCGTGTCAGGCGGCATAACGGCAGTCGTTGGGTCAGCGAAGGAGGAGGCGGAGAGAAGGCGGAGGAGGAGGCAGGAAGAAGGCGGAGGAGGAGGCGGAGGAGAAGAAGCAGAAGAAGAAGAAGAAGAAGAAGAAGAACAAGAAGAACAAGAACAAGAACAAGAAGAAAGAGGAGAAAGAGGAGGGGAGGAAGGGGAGGATGGTGGTGATTCAGGAAGGCGATCTGGATTAGTTGACGGCGTAGAGCACGAGGAAGAGGTGGACGGAGGACGGCAGTTGGTGCGGTCCGATTGGTGCAGTTGATCCGAAGATGTCCAACAAGTCCAATTGGTGCCCGGAATGCCAATTAACACCGTGGACACGTTGGAGGCGGTTGTGCGTTGGCATTGCGGGGTTAGCGCAGGTGAGACTTACGTGCTTCGCTTTTGGCTTTCGCGGAGGCAATGCGGTTGGTTTGGTAGATCGCAGCACTTGTCTTCATTGTCCCCCTCCATGTGAGTCGGACTCAGGCATGGTCTTCCCAGTTGGCCGGATAGATTTGCAGGCGCTTCACTGAGGACTTCAGAGTATCCTTTTATCTGAAGCATTTTGTCCCCGGTACGAAGCTGAAGTAGGCAAGAACGGCAGGATTTATTGGCACCAAAAAATTTCGCGACTGCTCTTCAGCTGCTTCCTGTCGCTTCATAAGAGGGATAACGAGTGAGAACAATACAACAGATTTGAATTCATGCAGAAAATCGATGCAGAAACAACAAGGTTAGGGTTTTGGGCAAAGTTGGCTAATCGATAAAGTTAGTAACACAAACGCCGTAGGGGAAGAAAGTTAAAAAAGGAGTAAACGTTAAAGAGCAAAAATGAGAGGAGAGAGGGGGAATCATGGAGCCAGAGGCTACCATGGTAATGTTAGGTTAACCACGTGCTCCAATTGTTTACAAAGATCTGGTTTCACTCGTCGTATATAGGCTGCCTCCAGGTAACGCAATGTCCGAGTTGTTCGTGCCCGAACAAGTACTCGGAAGGAAGTTTTGGGGTCGACGGTGTGACCAGTATCAAGTAGGTGTTTTGTAATGGATGAACGCGGGATCTTATTTTCTTGTCTAAGGAGCCACTTGGGCAGGTGCTTAATGGATCTGGCTGCCAACTGCCTTTGCGTTCGCCCAATGTACTTGCATCCGCAAGTGCATGTGAATTCATAAACACAATTTGACGTATGTACAGTGCTTTAAGGGCGACAATGTTTTAAATACTATCAAACGACGGCTACGTTCTGCCACTGAAAGGACATACAATGCAGCTGAACTAGTATTTTGCAGTCCTACTAAGCCACTTCCGATTCCACGGGCAAAGGATGCCCTGCCAATGCACGCCACGTCAAATTGTGTTTATGAATTCACATGCACTTGCGGATGCAAGTACATTGGGCGAACGCAAAGGCAGTTGGCAGCCAGATCCATTGAGCACCTGCCCAAGTGGCTCCTTAGACAAGAAAATAAGATCCCGCGTTCATCCATTACAAAACACCTACTTGATACTGGTCACACCGTCGACCCCAAAACTTCCTTCCGAGTACTTGTTCGGGCACGAACAACTCGGACATTGCGTTACCTGGAGGCAGCCTATATACGACGAGTGAAACCAGATCTTTGTAAACAATTGGAGCACGTGGTTAACCTAACATTACCATGGTAGCCTCTGGCTCCATGATTCCCACTCTCTCCTCTCATTTTTGCTCTTTAACGTTTACTCCTTTTTTAACTTTCTTCCCCTACGGCGTTTGTGTTACTAACTTTATCGATTAGCCAACTTTGCCCAAAACCCTAACCTTGTTGTTTCTGCATCGATTTTCTGCATGAATTCAAATCTGTTGTATTGTTCTCACTCGTTATCCCTCTTATGAAGCGACAGGAAGCAGCTGAAGAGCAGTCGCGAAATTTTTTGGTGCCAATAAATCCTGCCGTTCTTGCCTACTTCAGCTATCCTTTTATCGACGAATTTGGCCTCCTTGGCAGCGGAACCCCTGGCGACGTCTCCATAGAAGAGTCGTTTGGGTAGCCGCTCTAACGCAGTTGTACTTGTTTAACATGGCGTAGATGCTGAGGATTCCCGTCCGTTCCAGTACAGCAGTGTCCGGGATTCGGTCCTGTCACCTCAGCTTCAGTATATGGCGAAGACAACTGAGGTATGTGTGTATATATTTGGAGGGTTAGAGGCAGAGCCCTTGATGACCCTAGTTATGCACAGTGTTTTCGCAGATTCGTACTCAAAAATAAAATTGCAGGCATTTACAATGTGATCGAGTCACAGTTCAATCGTAAGCATAAGGTAGTGCATAAGGTCACTCTAAATTAGTGCGGAGAGTTTTTTTACAAAAAGGGCTGTACATAGTCATGCTGTAAAAGCCGATTTCTGTCGAAAACTAAACGAGCAAGTTTTCTTTTAAACAAACGAATTGTGTCAGCCGTCACCATCTCGCTTGGAAGCGAGTTCCACGGACGGACGACCCGGTGGCTGAATGAAAATTTTCGACGGTCTAACCGCGTGTGCTCATTCCCGACTTTGAAGGCATGGCCGCGTAGTTGGTTTTTACGGGCAAACTGAAAGAAGTCCTCTGCTCTTAATGAGCAGCCCTGGCCGCGGACAATCCGAAACGTCCAAAGCTGACTGCAGTTTATTTGTCTATAAGAGAGAGGGAATAAGCCAAACAAATTCCGCCTCTCCTGATATGACAAATGCTTTAGACCGTCAACCATGTTTGTCGCTCTGCGTTGCACCCGTTCGAATAAGTCGATATCTCTCCTCATCCATGATGAAGCCGCTGGCATTCCATACTCCAGATGAGGTCTTACGAAGACACCAAAGAGTCTTTCAAAGAGTTAAGGAGGAAATATTTTAAATGCACGTCTGATCCAGTGTAGAGTACTAGTTGCCTTCTGGACCATCTTCCTTCAGTGTTCTGAGGGCGATAGATTTATGGTCGTCCATACACCCAGATCTCTGTGTCTTTCCCCCGTTTCTAACCTCGTCCCGTCAATATAGTACTGGTGCTTGAGAGAGGCATTGCGGCCGGTGTTCAGGTACAAGACCACGCATTTGGACACGTTAAACTTCAAAAGCCATCTGTTCGACTAAGTACACAGTTTGTCTGTTTTCGACTGCAACTTCTCTGCGTCATCATCGCACTTGACTTCACCCCATATTTTTATGTCATCCGAGAACATGAGGGCCTCCAAGACAACTGAGGTGGAAGTGGTTGAGTCGGCGTTCCTGCTTGGTGTACACTGTCCAAGTCTCTGATCTGTACAGCAGAATCGGGAGGATGAAGACCTTATGCATCTTCAGCTTCGTGAGGAGCTGGAGACCGTGACGATTTCAAGCTGGGTTTCGAAGACGACGGCAGGCTTGAAAGGCCTTCGAAATCCGGCAAGCCGCTTCAACGTCGATTTTGGTGTTGCGTGAAATGGCTCTGCTGAGATACGTGAAGTCGTCCACCACTTACAGTTGGACTCTGTTCACTATGATTTGCGGCGCATAGCGGATAGTGTTGGGTGGCGTTTGGTGTATGACTAACGTCATCTCCGTGTGAATGGCCAGACTGAAGTTCTCGCAGGTGGCGGCGGCGGCAGCGAAGAGGTCCATGCTTCTTTGCATGTCTCCTTCAGTAGTTGCATTGAGGGTGCAGCCATCGACGAACATAAATTCGGGACGGAAGTTGTAAATACACGTGACTGGAAGTGCGTCAGACGCTGATTGAGGAGGTGATCGTGAATACTTTAGGCGATGCGGATCCCGGGGTGTTCATCATGGTAGGCGCAATCAGCATGGAAGAAAACATGATACTGAGGATGGTGGGCGCGAGGACGCGGCCCTGCATCACTCCATTAATCGTTGAGAATGCCTCTGAGACAGCTCCGTTGTCCGTTACTCGCGCCATCATGCCGTCGTGGAACTGACGCACCATCCGATTGAATTGATCGGGACAGCCGAATTTCTATATGATTTTCCACAGTCCTTTACGATTCACCTTGTCGAAGGCTTTCGTCAAATCCAAGAAGGTGGAATACAGGTGGGTCCGCATCTTCTTACACTTCCGCTGCAAATGGCGGAGGGCGAAGATCATGCCGGTGGTCTCCCGAGGATGACAGAAGCCGTGCTGGCTTTCCGGCAGGAGACTCTGCTCCAGATATTTGTTCAGGTGGTCGAGGAGGATGCGGACGAAAATCTTCCCGGCGATGTTTATCAGGATTGTCGCAGAGCTGGCGGTTTCCTTTTCGCTTGTAGGGATACACAATTGTGGCGTCCTTGAAATCTTGCGGAAGTTCTCCTTGCGCGGCATCTCCTGGAGAAGCGCTGTCAGGTGATTCATGAGTTGGGGGCCACCGTGCTTGCAGGCCTCAGCAGAGATCACGTCCGATCCGGGCACTTTCCCCTGGAGAGATGTTGCACGTTCTTGATGGTTTCCTGGAGAGCGTGCGGAAGGCCGAGGTCGACGTTGGTCTCCGCTTGCGTCAGACGGGCGATGGCGGCGCCGGAGATGGAGGAGAGGAGGTTGAGGACGCCTCGGAAGTGTTCGGCCCATCGCTGTATAATTTATGTTTTCGCATTGAGTAAGGAACTGCTGTCTAGGCTGAGAGGAGGAGAAAAGGCTTTAGCTGGCGGAACGTAGACAGTTTTAATCGCGGAGAGCAAGCAACCCAGGCGTCCTGCATCTCGCGCAAAAGTAGGCTTTGTTTTGAAGAAGGAGACACGATCTCCGGGACAAGAGCTTTATTAGCCTGACGTTTCGGATTTCTACTCGAATCCATCATCAGAGACAAAAAAGCAGAACCGGGTGGTTGCTGCACAAGGAGCTGCGATATTTATAGGATGCAGTAGCCATGCTACCGCATACCTATGAACATTCACGGCTCCCCCCTTCATCCGGGATCGTCGCACTTGGTGTGATCACTGCTTGATGACCGACATTCGAGTCGATAATTGCTGCAATTTCATCACGTGCGTTGGATGTTGGCGTGATGATTGCTTAACCATCTGACGCACCGACCACGTGTTGGGAAAAGTGTTCACCTCTGCGCTCCCCGCATGGCTCGTTACTCCGCCTAGGCGAAATTGTAGCACGCAGTATGAAGTGGAAAGATCGTTGCGCTTGTTGATGGACTGGGGGCCAGTAAACCATGATTCCAGTAGCTCCCGGCTCACTCGGTTGTCACCTCTTGCGAGAATTTCGGCCTCATCGAATTTGAATGTGTGGCCGGATCTCGTCGAATGAGCCGCAACTTGAGAGCTGGCGTCATTTCTGCGCACCGCTGCCGCATGTTCGGCCATTCTCGTTTGGAGCTGTCCTCCGGTTTCTCCGACGTAATTTCTTTGTCCGCAACTGCACCAGATCCGATAAACGACTCCAGAAGTTTCTAGCCGTGGAAGTGGGTCTTTTAGTTTCATGACCCGACGCTAGATGGTTGCCTCCGGTCTGTGTGCCACTCCAACCCCAAGTGATGCGAGAAGGCGGCCGACAGCTTCCAAAACGTTCTTGTCATACGGAAGTGCCCGCCAAGATTTGGTGTCCGTGCGGTTAGGCCTTTAGCCCCATTTGCGTATGCACCGGTTGACGAATTTGCGCGGGTAGCCATTGGCTTTGAAGACCCGTCGGAGGTATTGTAGTTCGTCATTTTTTTCTTCCGGCTCACTGCATTGCGTTTCGACACGCCGATAGAGCGTCCTTACACAACTGCTTTTGTGACTGATTGGGTAGTTACTGTTGAAGTTCAGTACTTGCATCGTATTTGTCGCTTTCCTGAACACTTTGGTTTTTAGTTCACCACAATCTTTGCGGCATACGAGGACATCCAGGAAGGCCAGCTGGTTGTTCTCTTCCTCCTCCATCGTAAATTGAATGTCCGAGAAGACGGCGTTGAGATGTTCTTGGAATGTCAACACCTGATCACGTTCGATGACGACGAGGGTGTAATCCACATACCGGGCCAAGAATTTCGGTTTGTGGTGTTGAAAGACCAGCGACTCTAACCGTTGCAGGACCGCCTCGGCGATGAATCCCGAAATCGGCGAACCCATTGGTGTGCACTTCACCTGTTCGTAGATTGTCCAGTTGAACGTGAAGTACGCCCTGAGCCAGAGCTTCAGGAGCTGAAGGATTTGGGCGTGTCCAAGACGGTTCTCCGTTTCATCATATTTGCTTTGTAGTAGCAGTTCAATTGTCCCGATCGCCAGGTCCTGGGGAATAGAAGTAAAAAGGAATATAACATCAAAAGATACCATGACCTCATTTGGATGGATGCTTACTTCTTTGAGATTCTCCAGGAATTGAGCTAACGAAGAGACCGTGAAGTCTGACTCAGCGGTCAGGAACTTGAGACGCCGGAACAGCCACTTAGCCAGTCCGTACGTTCGAGTCCCTTTGAGCGACACGATGGGTCGGAGAGGAGCGCCGTCTTTGTGCACCTTAGGGAGGCCATAGAATCGGGCCAAAGCCGTATCTTGGGGTCTCGCCATGCGTCTGTCGGTCGGTGTTATTGTACCTGAGTTCTCCAAGGCCAAAAACGTAGCATTAATTTCCAGTATCAGCGTCTTTAAAGGGTTCGTTGCACATGGGATATAGAACTGTCGGTCCTCCAGTATACCTTTGGCTTTTTGAAGGTAGTCTGTCCTGTTCAGTAAAACTGTGGCGCCTCCTTTGTATGCTGGCACGATGACAAGGTCTTTGACGGCCTTGAGTTCTCTAAACGCATTACGTTCGACCTTGGAAAGCACTTCCCGCGGCCTGTGGGCCATCAGGAGAGACGACACTTGGTGTCGGATGAGGTTCCTAGTCTCCTCCGTTGCCTCCTCCGTTTACTGGCCCCCAGTCCATCAACAAGTGCAACGATCTTCCCACTTCATACTGCGTGCTATAATTTCGCCTAGGCGGAGTAACGAGCCATGCGGGGAGCGCAGAGGTGAACACTTTTCCCAACACGTGGTCGGTGCGTCAGATGGTTAAGCAATCATCACGCCAACATCCAACGCACGTGATGAAATTGCAGCAATTATCGACTCGAATGTCGGTCATCAAGCAGTGATCACACCAAGTGCGACGATCCCGGATGAAGGGGGGAGCCGTGAATGTTCATAGGTATGCGGTAGCATGGCTACTGCATCCTATAAATATCGCAGCTCCTTGTGCAGCAACCACCCGGTTCTGCTTTTTTGTCTCTGATGATGGATTCGAGTAGAAATCCGAAACGTCAGGCTAATAAAGCTCTTGTCCCGGCGATCGTGTCTCCTTCTCCAAGACTACATCCTGGGACTCATCTCTTCACTTCTACTAGGCTTTTTGCAGGTGGTTCTTTTCAGCGCGCAGGTTGCTGATGTCGGCGTCATTGTCGTCGAACCAGTCCTGGTTTTGGCGTCATGCGCGACCGAGTATGGTCAGAACCGTCGACCGGGCTGTGTCCCGCAGTTGATAGCATCGTTTCTCCATGTAGGCTTCTCGTCAGCGGCGACAGCGGCAACGCCGACTGGAGGTTGACAAACCGTTGAGCTAGCTTGTCGCCGATTTGGAGATGGTTAACAAGCAAAGACAACAGAGCAATATCTAGCATAACTGAGGGTTGTTTCCCTTGAGGTCTCTCCCGATGCTGTAGACGAATCTGCATCTCGGAGATGACGAAGCGTTGGGCGGTCCACCCGTCAGCACCAGGAATCGCCATTGTCACCAGCACGTCCTGCTGGTCTCGCCTCCGGACAAGGACAAAGTCTAGCAGGTGTCAACGTCGCAACTGATGGTTCATTCACCTGGCCCTCTCTCGCATCGGGAGACCGAATTAATTTGCTTACCTTATGATCATGGCGGGACTACGCTCAACAGTTTGATGATTTATTCGAACAGGCGCGAACGACCAATCTTCGAGACCGCCAGTACAAATTGAAGATGAAGTATGCCAAACTTGAAGCGCGAGTCAAATTCTTCTATGACCAGCTGGTTGAAGGATGGTAGAACTCGCTGAACTCCGTCTTCTTGGCAGAAATCTTTGAGACCTTCAAAAAAGACTTGATAAACTTACGCTTGATGGTCAAATCTTTACTCGATATCAATGAGTGGCATAGCCGTTAGATAACTATTTGCATGCTTCTCATCCGTCTATTTGTGGATAGGGTTGTCCGAGGCCTCGCTTATATCCCTTATATTTACTGCATTATAATTATATAATCGTTGTACATAGTTTTGACAAACTGGCTACTAGAATTGGGTTTTTGGACGAAAGTCTTACTCGAGCTTGCCTTATGATTACAAGGAGTGACAATGTCATCTTCTCAAATTAAGGCGGCCCTGCTGTAATTTCTGTCAGGTATCCTGGAATTCGAACACTTTTGCTATTTTCAGCATTTTGTGAGTTGACAGGCCCAGTCATCGTGCCGGGGAACGGGGGATGGATTATATACGTTCCGCTGGTGCTGAGTTCTTCGGTGGTCTGTTAAACACACTTGTAGGAAGCATGTTCTGGTGGAATAAATTGACTTCTCCCCCCGGGTGGCTTTGAGTCTGTTACGGTAGTGCTACCCTCATGAGGACATCCCTGGTGCATGTGGATGCTAATTTAGACTCACTAAATAAAAAAATTTTATATTTAGTCACAAGGACTCCCGTCTCCCCTTAAATGACATTCCCCTATCACCATGTGCCTTTCAACCCATGTCTGTGGCAACAGTAGAGAGACACCTTAAAAAGGTTCGTGGATCAACAGCTGCCGGACCGGATGGTGTCTCGCCTTTTCTTCTTAAATATTGCAGTTATCAGTTAGCATATATTTTAACGCACCTAATTAATACGTCTTTCATGGAGTCCAAGATTCCCGACGCCTGGCGTACAGTGAGAATCACTCCCATCCCCAAAAAGCCCGCTAACTTTGGTCCTAAATCTTTTCGTCAAATTGCCTGCTCCTCCGCAATACTAAAGCTTGCTGAAAGAGTTGCCCTAAATATTATAAATCCTTTTTCTTTCAGTTTATCTGACCCTTTACAATTTGCATACAAAGCAAACGGAGTACTTTAGATGCTGTTGCTCTTGTGGTCCACTCTGCTCTAAAAGAATTAGGCAAGGGTTGCCGCGAGTACGCATGCGCTTTTCTTGATTACTCCTCCGCCTTCACTACCGTCCCGCGCCCTCTTCTCCTTACCAAAACCTCCGCGTGCGGCTCTTCAAGCTAGGTCGTCTCTTGTCTTAGCGGTTATTTTTCTTCCCGCACTCAATTTGTCCAATCTGGCGAGCGAAAATCTACGATCCTTCCTAATGAATGCGGTGTTCTTCAAGGTTACATTCCTTCCCCTCACCTTTTCTCCCTCCACACTGACGATCTAAGGTCCTCTGCTGACTGTCTTTTGGTCAAGTATGCTGACGATGTGGTTGTTGGACACCCTCTCAAAAGTCAGACACACCTTCAGTCTCTAAAGGATGGCCTACACCATGTCCTTGTATGGTCGGAGGAAAATGGTCTCCTAATTAACAACCAAAAATCCATTCAGTGTATTGTTCGACTGCGGCCCTCTCCTAGTCCTGAATGCTCTCACATTCTTCTAAAAGAAGCAACCTCTTTCAGGTACCGCGGCGTTAATTTGTCCTCAAATCTTTCATTTTCCTCCACATTGAGTCCCTATTTGATGGCACCACGACGGGTCTTTGATAAAAATTATTATTATTATTATTTACTAAAGTTCGCAAACTGCTTTATTACATACGTCGTCTACGTTCCTACCACACACCTCAACCCTTAGTCTGGCGATTCATCGATGCCTGCATTCTCCCTCTTATACTATACTGCTGTCCTGTCATTTTTACTGGTTTGCTAAAAAAGGATCCTTTAATTTTGAAACGAGTCCTCCGCATGCTCTCTTCTGCTGATGGTGTTTCTTATCTTTTTTAGTTGACACTATCTTACAACGACATTTCAATGCGGTCAAGCAACTTGCTGGTCGGATTATAGATGACGTTGCCCATCCCTTGCATTCTAATCTTATTTCTTCGAAGGCTTTCCGCCCGATGCGCCGCAGCTTCCGATTTATGTCATGTCGCACATCGGCTTATCGAGCTTCTGTATTGCCACTCCCAGCGCGCTATCTTACGTGTGAGGAGATAGACATACAGAAGCTAAAACTTGAACCATCCTCATACTAATCGTTTCTTTGTGTTAAACTTTGACTCTTGAATAACCCATCAACTTATTTACTGCCCATAGTGAATGGAGCCAATTTTTTGCTGGAAATTTTGAACTTATGATTTCGGAATAAAGCGACTTACTCTCTCTCCCTCTGATTTGCCGGTTGAAGTGCTGGTTCATTTTGAGCGCTTCAATTTTCCTGTGCCCCAGAAAATCGCAATTAAATTTTTCGAGGTAATTGCGGAAATTTGACATCCACAGCGTAGGACTCTAAGTCCACAGCATCAAGTGAGAGGAACTGAGACAGCTTCAGACTTAGAAATTACCTGCTTCGTCAGTCTAGTGTCATTTAGTAAATGTGAATAGTTTGCTGCCATGACCGCAAAGAAGATCATACTTGCAGAGAAATTTTTTATCAGTTTGCCTAGGAATACCTGTGAAATTGACATAAAGATGTTGGAAAGACTTTAGAGCCAGGCGGGAATACTTAAGATTGAAATGCAATGTAAACCAACAGGAAAGTCCGCATAGTATTCAGGCACTCACTTTGCAGAAAAGGCGGTAACACACAGACTTTACGGACATAGGCAGGACCGCTAGTGGGATGGACAATGTGGAATGTGATTTGTTTTTTCAATAAAGTTATGCGCGCAGCCTTAAAATAGACTCCCACTTTTGCTCAGCCGTCGGGTGGACATTTGAATTCAGCATGCGATCAAACCCTAGAGCAAACTGTCCGAAATAATCAAGCAATTCACAAGCTGCAATTTTTTCAAGAAACTAACCAGGAAATTTCGCGATGTTATAGGTTAAGAAATAACTAGGGCAAACCGGTTCTAAGCGCCGGCTGCCCAGCTTGCACGCCACCAAGACAGAACACACAAATTTGCGGAGTCCTTAGACGCACTTTTCGTTGAAAAAAATACCTTTGGGTTCTCGATCAAGTCGAACGTCATGTGGTTCTATCCTTTTTCCGTTCAGTTCGGTTTAGTTTATTGAGGGAAAATAGGCGTCAGAATTTTTTACCCTATTTGCAACGTAAAAGTAGGTGCGGTGTACACAGAAACTTGATGAACTGAAATAATTCAAACGGGCCCATAACAGTATGACCGATTGGGTTCGAGTCCCAGGGGTTGAGCTAAACAGCCCCGGTTTTGTCTAATTT